TCTTTTAGGATGCAAATTTGATACTTTAAATTTTAAAACTCTTTGTAAAATTATTTAAATACTCTTATTAAATATTTTTTTATGTTGATTCATTGAAGGTATTTTAGTTTTTTCATTTTTATATCTGACATTTTAACTATTTTTTGAACAATTTTGAAATGCAATTAAAATATTATAAATGATAATAAAAAGATTAAAGTACTTTTAGTAAATCAACAAAAAAAATATTCATTAAAGGTATTTAGATAATTTTACAAAAAATCATAACATTTAAAATATCAAGGTTTTTTAATTTTTTCTTTCAGATACACATTTTTATCATTAATTTATATAGAAAAACATAAAAATTAATATTGATTTTAGTATCATTGTCACATTGATAAATTTAATTAAATAATTAATAAATTAAAAGATAATATTATTTTTTCAATATAAAAAAAATCAAAAATAATAATTTAACATGAAATTAACACTAATAAAATGTAATAATAAAATCACTCTAATGATTTTCAGGAAAAGAGACAAATAAAAATAGAAAAACTAAGATTTCGTTTAAATGATTGTCTGCATTAAAAATTAAAGAATATTGAAATTAATTATTTTAGTATATATTTGTTAAATTAACGAAGTTTGAGTGTTTTTTCCTTGTTTTCTGCGGCCCGTAAACACAATTCAATAAAAAAAAAATGAAAACAAAAGAAACCATCACGCTTAACTGTCCAAGATATTTATGTGAGATGGAAGTTATAAACGATGTTAGTGTGGCGTTAGGGGAGGGACGTAACTGTAATGAAAAGTTAAAGTAGAGGGAGAACTTTGAACAAAATGTAAGTACAAAGAGGACAATGAACGAAAAATGAAAGTAGAGAGACTATAACTGGCTTTAACCAAAAAAAAAAAAAGTTTGGTGTTTTATTTTATTCTTAATTTTCTTCTTAACCTCATCTTTGACATCTCATCAACCATGGAGAATTAAGGAGAGAGATAGAGGAAAGGTTGGAGATGCTGGCGTCGGTGGTATGTAAGATTAGAGGGACACTAGCTATAAATAAAGTATAT